ATCCTTGTATTAAGACCCAAAAATGCTTATCAGGACACCCTGGATAGGGCAATGCCCTCAGCAAGAGGGAAGAAGTTCCGAGTCTGCAAAGCACGAACTGTACTTACCGCAATTAACAGCTCACCCTCCCTTCTGCAAGCCTATTCTTTGGATTCTGATGTCTCGTGTTTACAGAATACTCTCAAGTCAGTGTGCTGCACCACCTGAGTCTCCTCGCACAACTGGAAAGTAAAACAGATAGCAAAACAGAACACTCCCAGATGCACGACAGAGACCCCTGTGTTCTCACGTCCTATAGGCAGGTTTTTCCCACTACTTGTCACAATGCTTCAGTGGGCCATTAAGTTATCTTAGTCACTCCCAGCCAACATAGACTTTTCATAAACAGAATGAAATAGGAAAAATGGAATGATAAAAATTTTCAGAGTGCCTTATATGCACAGGTATACACTGTCTCATGAAAAGTTTGTTTTATAAATATGTAGATATTGTTATAGATATAGTACATGAACATGCAAAGTGGATTTCTTAGGTGGGGTGACGTTGAAAAAGTTTGAAAGCCTGTGCTATAAAAGATCAGGAAGATGGCAATGACAGTTAGGAGGAAAGGCTCTAGCATTGGATGTATCAAAGTTCGGTTCCCAATCCTGCCATTTAGGGGGTCAATAACCTTGTGCATGTTGCTTACCTCTTTGTGCCTGTTCCCCCTGTTGTGAAATGAGACGATGATACCATATAGTGCCTGGCATCCAATCAACACTCAATAAATGACAACTTTTTAAAAGTCTTTTGTTTGAAACATCCAAGTCTATGGGGCCCCAGGGCAGACGTGGCTGCTCTAGGACTCACGGCACATGCAGATCAACGAGCATTCGCAGGATATATTTAGAAAGGATTCTCCCTTATGCCCAAAAGTATGGTGTTTGGCTCCTGAATACCTGAGCTGGGGTCTTGCAGTTATAGAAACAGCAGAAACTAAAAGTCCTTAATGTCGGGCTAAAAACGGGGACTTCTTTCTTAACATAGGGCTCAGGTCTAAGGAAACCCAGTTGTCTGAAGTTGCAGGCCAGCGATTGCACTGGAACACCTGTCCCAGCAGCAGGTGCCAGTGCACAAGCCCCCAGAACTGCTGGCATGGTTCAAGCAAAGGTTTTCTGGCAGAAGGACAGAGAGGTCTTTATTGTCCCTGTGGACCCCGTGATTTCCAAGGAGCCCATTTCCACCTCTCACTCAGCACTGCCGTCCATCTCCACAGGGCAGCCAATATCAGCATCAACTTCAGTGATGTTGTCAAGGGGATGCTATGGCTTCCTGACATCCTGTCCTTCTCCATGTGAAAGGAAAGGCTAGGAAGGAGACTGAGCCTGAAAATGAGACACGGTGCCTCAGAACAGGGGCAAACAGACACACACAGGGAGCCAGGAAGAAAGAAAAAACGCAAAGCCGGCAAGAAATGGAGGAAAGCAGTGAAAGGCAGACAAAAAGAAACTCGGAAAAAGATAAACAAAGAGGCCAAATAAAAAATAAGGATGATTTTTAAAAGCAAAACAAAAAAATAATTGTAAAACAAAAAGGTAGATGACAAAAGAAAAAAAGAAATAGTGGAAGAAGCTAGTAGGACAAGACACCATCTGAATCCATGCTGCTTTGTTCGCTGTTCCTGCAGCAGCAGTGCCCAGGCAGGGCAGAGCAGGGAGAAAGGAAACTGGAATCCTCTGTCTGACCTGGTGTTCTTCCCCTCTTCCTGAGTCTGGTCTGCAGCCTGACTTCCAGCAGGGAAACTCAGGGCACAGGCTCAGGGGCCTTTGGAGAAAGAGGCTCCAGAAGCTGTTATGATTCCAGCTGGGCTAGAGATAAGCACACCCTCTCCTACCTTCCACTGTCAGGTGCCACCTCTGGGGTTCCTAGCCCTGGTCCCCTCCACCAGAAACAGGGCTTCAGCTGCCAAGCAATTCCTACCCATCATAGACTCTGGTGTCTTGTCATTCCCAGACAGCCCTGTTCCCTCATTGCCTTAGGCTCCACCCTGCATCAGACACATTTGAAGTCATTCAGATTTTTTCTGGTGTCCTGTGGGGCTGAATTCCACTTTTGCATTTCAGAGAACTCAGGGAACACCAGCAGCGGCATAAAACCATCGCCTGGCCTGGCCTGGCCTGGCCTTATGGGAATGTCTGGCTTATTCGGAAAGGGAATCCCATCTTGCCTGTGTCTTTCAGGGCTTTCCGCTTCCCCCAGGGGCTAGGAGAGGGTTTGGCCTGGCGTTCTCTCCCTTTCTGCACCACTCCTATCTTCTCAAGCTTCCAAGTCACACGGAAGAAGTACAGCAAGTGCTTGGAAAAGATGACCCAACACAGGCCCAGGTCATTGGTGAAGGGCTCAGGCCTGGATCATCTCCCCACCACCGCCTCTCTTGCCAAAGTCTGAAGGCTTGAGTACATCCACGTCCTTTCAGCTCAAACAAGCAAGAGCCAAGTGCATTATTATTTCTCAACAAAAGCTCCTGCAGCAAACTAGCAGGGATGCTCTAGAGGGAGAAAAAGGGGAGAAGAGGAAACTTCAGAGTGAAGAAAGCACTAGTCTCAGAAAATCTCCAAACTGCAAGGCCCTACGGGCAGCCCCAGAAGAGCAAAGGATCTTAAGGAGCAGGCGTTCTGCTGGAACCCGAGTGTCCGGGGCCCAGACAGAGAGCAGGCAAAAAGGGAGGGAAGCCTGCTGGTAGCCAAGCAGGGCCAGAAGGAGGTGAGGTGCAGAGCTAAGGCCTCTGCTGGGCCTCTGGCTTGCAACCTGGGCCCAGAGTGACTCCTTGCTATGCCATACCTACTGGCTGCCATGTTCACTGCACGAAAAGTAAGATTTTCCCCCTAAAATAGAAACAGGGGGTGTGGGGATCAGTCTGGCCAGCCAGCCTGGCTCAGGTGGTCATGAAGGGCAGCCTGAGTCATTCAGGGCTCCTGGAGCTGCCTTTGAGGCAGAAATACAGAGCATCTTTGAGCACTCCTGCTCTGTCTGTGGGAAGGTGGGAAAAATGCTCAAAATAGAATAAAGGGAAGGGTCAGGACCCAAAGGGGTCTCACTCCCTGTTTCTCTGGACCCTCTATGGGGTGTCTGTGTGCAGGATTTCTGCAGAAGATAGTTCATTTTGTTAAGCCTTTGAATATTCAAATTGAAAGTACCGCGCAATCATTGATTGTCAAATCATGGGTTTCTAGAGGTTTTAAATACTTGGCATGAGGGGGAAAAAACTCAAACCTATACCCGAAGGTATAAAACATTAATTCTGTTTGTCTCCTGCTCCAGGAACCTGGATGCAGCTAGATGCTTTGTGAAACTTTAAAAATGTTGCATCTCTGCTTCTCTCCTTGCACAGGAGCCCTCCGAGGTACTGAGTCCTTGCAGCCGCAGCATCCAGCCACGAATCCAGCTTCTGCTGACCACCATGTCGGGTAACTCAGCTGCTTCTCCTGGGGCAGGGTCACGCGGGCCAGGGGCATTTTGATTTGGGTATATTTCCACAGCTTTTCCTGCATTGAACAGAGAGGCACAAAGTCAGAGCATACAAGGGTGTGCCGGGGATCCGGAGTGAGCACAGGCCACACTGTGGCCGCTCTCCGCGCCTGCTCTCGAAAGCAGAAGCCCAGGTGCCGAGTTGAATGCTAAGGCGTCGTCCGCCTACCCCGGCCCCACACCCACCCTCCCACTTTGCCACAGTAGTGACCCGGGATTTCGCGGCGCGGATTCTGCGTGCTCAAAAGCAGCGGCGGGGGGAGCTAGAGGCTCACAGTGAGCCCTTGAAGCGAGGGAGGCGCGCGGGTCGCACGGAGCTGAACTGTGGCGGTCCCGTTGCCGACCCCTCGCCCGCCCGCAACCTGCGGAGCCGCGAACTCGGCGAGAAAATCGCGGGAAGAGACGGGACCGCGGACTGCACCGCCACTCCCATTTTCTGCGGGACGGGCAGGGATTCCCTGGGTTTGAGCGACAAATAGCGCAGCCTCCTTTCCTGAGGAGACCCCCTTGCTCCCAAGGCTAGGCCTGGGGGCTTCCTGCAGTCCAATTGCGGTCTCCGCACTGACCGGGCGAGGCGCTGTCCCCAGGCGCCCAGGCGCCCCGCCGGGTCGCTCGGCCGCCCCAGGCGCCGGGCCCACCCCCTCCCCGCGCTATTACCCCGGCGGCGCTCAGTCTACTGTCGCGTTCCGAGTCCCCGTCGCCCTAGGCTCCGGCGGTCCCTCCGGACCGAGAAAGTTCACTCGGCCCGGAGTAACCTAACAGCCTCGCCCGAGCTACTCACTGCGGCTCAGCAGGCCCCGCGGCTGCCCTTCCCCGGCGCTGCGGCTCCCTCCCAGCCAACCGCCCCGCGCGCGCTCCGCCCGCCCAGCCCGCCGGAGCCGGCCCCGGAGGCAACCTCTTTGGGAGAGTAGCCTCCCAGCGGAGTGCTCGGTCCTAGGGATCCCGCACGGCTTTCCTGGAACTCGCGCTGCTCGGACTCGACTCCGAGCCTCCTAGCGCGGAGGAGAATAGCCAGCACCAGAAAGGGAGGGGGTGGGAAGAGACGGGAGGAAGGGGAGAGCCGGAGCGGGGCCTAAAGAGGGAGGAGGGAAAGATGGAGAGCAGGGAAGGCGGAGGAAGGGGGCAAGGGAGGGAAGGCAGAAGATAAAGATCGATGGAAGAGAGGGACAGAGTTCCCAGGGTCTGGTCCCTTTACTGGTGTCAGTCTGGCAGGTTCCTCACCGGTCTAAGGACAAGTCTCGCCCAACCTCCCAACCTGCCCCAGACCAAGGGCATATAGAGGCCGAAGCCTCCCCAGAAGCCACATCTGGCTTGGTGGAGAAGGAAGGGAATCAGTGATTGTGTACCAGTGGGAGCATCACGAAGGAGTGATCAGGTCAGCAACTACAGATCAGAGAGTGCCCCTGCACCTGCGCCCAGCCCCTCCCCGGTCTATAATACCCTTTGCCAGGCCAGCAGGCTGGGCCCAGGTACCCCCAACATAGTTAGCCAAGATGGTGAACTCCCCTGGCCTGGTCTCCACATACCTGAGCAGAAAAACCTATATGCTACTGGTCTGAGGATAGGACCTCAGGTCTAACCTGAGGTGGGTGGCCCCACAGATTTCTGTATGTTCTAGACCCCACTGAGGCCCTGCAATCTGTCCAGCTCCTCTTCACCCCTCCAAATTTGAGAACTTTAAGTTTCTTTCCCACTTGCCTTTAGGCATTCTCTTTGTGTTCTCCAAACCTAGAAGGCTGGCCTCAGGTGCCATGGTCTATACACAGGACACCCACACGCCAGACTGATACCCAAACCTCACACTTGACCACTGACCAAGCTGTCTTTCCCCAGAAAAACCAAAGGTGTATCAAGGTGTCCGGGTGAAGATCACGGTGAAGGAGATGCTGCAGCAGAGAAGGGCTCACCAGGCAGCCTCAGGGGGAACAGTAAGCATAAACCCTTCACTTACTCCCAACTCCTGTTAGGCATCTGGAAAGGTGTGGAGATCATCCTGGGCCCCATTCGCCACCTAGACCTGGCCTTTCTCAGCTGTTCTTGTAAATTTGGTGCCCGGCTTCATCCCAGTTCACCACAGGAAGCCACAGAGAACAGCTGTGGTATGTTTGGGGCTCGTGGGATTTGGGAGAGCCCATCCCTCCCTGATTCTAGTTGAGTAAGAAGGGCTCGTTGGTTCTGTGTAGGAAGAGGAGCAGCCAGCAGGTTGTTCTGTTCGGAAGGCAGTGTGTGTGCTCTCACACATCCAAAGAAAATCTCTCCCAGAAACTTTGTTTTAGGAGGCCCCTTCAAGGATAGAATCTCTGTGGAACAGACCCCCCTCTCTCCTCATTCTTCTAGAACCCAGCCTCGGAGGTGGTTCAACTGGAAATCACCAAACTGAAAGTTCCCAATGGAAAGGAGCCATGTCTCTGCAGAGGAGACAGCTTGGAATATAGAACCACCTCCTTAAGATGTAATGACTGTTCCAGACCATCACGGGATAGGTCTGGATAGTCGTAAGAATATTCTAAACAGACAGTACTGACAAGAGCTCTCAGGCAGCAGCAGAACCAAATAAAGTAGGTCAGGTTATCTTCCAGGAGAGGGGAATTCATTACTGAAAGCCCTCGATTGTACAATTGCTTATGGGTTGGTTTAGGTGTACGCAGAGGAAGATCTGACAGCTAGGGCCCATATTGCCAATATCCATCAGCATTTGGTGCTCTCTCAAGCTTATTGGCATATGCCCCAGCAATGGTTTTTGTGCCTGATGCTGTTTGTGTGCAGTGCAAGACTTCATGAAATGGGTCTTTGTGAGAAGAGGCAAATGATTCAGGGGTGGTGAGCGCAGCTTCTAGAACCAGTGGACTAGATTCAGACCTCAGCACCTCAACGGGGTGTATATCCTCTGAGCAAGTTATTCTGCCTCTCTTGCCTCATTTTTCTGATCTTTAAACTGGAGATAAGATTGTGAGAGGGCTATATGAGTTATTGCATATAAAGCACTTAGAGTACTTACCATATGGTAAGTGCTCAGTTAATGCTAGCTTTCATTATTATTTGTGAAAAGCAGCTACAATAAAATTGCAACCAAGGCTTGAAAGCCAGCTTTTCAGTAATGTTCATCTATCTGCGCCCTTTGCCTGGAGTTTAGAGTTTCAGGTGTTAACTTGCTGTGATATGGCCTGTACTGTGCAAATTTTAAATTTGGTGGCAAAGTTAGTACCTTTATATGCAGAACTTCAGCTAACACAATGAAACTTCCTTCTACTTGTAAAGGATTCTACAGTCGTTCTTTAAAAGCATTTTTTGCATACTCATTTTTTTCATTTAGTTCTTATAATAAGCAGGAAAGGTAAGTAGATCAGGGATCTGTATGCCTCTATTACAGCTGAAGTTGAAAATCTTGCAGTTACTGATGGTCAAGCTAAAAGTAGAATCAAGGTCTTATTATTCTCAATTAAAAAAAAAAACACAAAAACCTCCCACCTCTCAGTTCCCTAAATACATCTTTCTGCAGATCCAGGAGCTGTGCTGAGCAGGAGTCTGGTAACCCCAACCATCAACCCCTACAATTCACGGATAATTATAAAATTAATAAAACCAGGAACAAGGGATCTGGGAAATGCTTCTGAAGCAAAAAAAAATCATCAAGATGGTCATAACAAAATGTAATCTTTCATTACGGAGCTTTAGTACAAGGTAGAATTCTGCTTCTGCTGCCCCTGGACTGGGCATGGCAATTTTATTGCTCTTGGCCTCTTACAGGTTGGTTTGGTCACTATTCCCCTGCTGGCTAACCGCAGGAAGGGTTAAATATTTCACTTGTGTATCTGATCAGTATCTGTTCCCTGGAGAGGTTTGGCTTATCTAAGTGTTTCTCAGTCTCCCCCCTGAGAAATGATAAGGCAATACTTCTGAACCAGTGCCTTGCAGAAAGGTTCCTTGTTTGGTACATCTGCCTGTGTCCTCACAGGCAGGAGGAGTAGCACACAGATGATTTAATTACGAGAGCTAGCTGTACAGTTCTTCCGTGGGAACCAGCAGAAGGATCTGGGATTCCAGCAAAGCTGTGAAGGTATGGTCAGTTGGCAAGGATGGCAGATACCAGGGTATAATGCATGCCTGCTTCTTGGTGTAGCTTCCTCTGGTCCAACAGAGATGATCTCTAAGTTGTTCAGTGGTCGAAGGACACCTCTAGGAAGTTTTCAGCCAAGGAAAGAATTAATTTTATAAAATCCACAAAGCAGGAACAAATTTATCTTAATTTGCTATAACGTCAGAGTAGTATCCACAATTTGAAATTTTAAGAAGGCAATTGTGAATGGATGTTATCGACTGAGACAATATCAGGGCCAGGAGAAATGAGTGCTTGCAGGATTTGTAAATTTGATTCACAGCACTTATTTCAGCCAGGCCAGATGAGTTTGCAAAGAACCCTACCTACACACACACACCTCTTACATCTAGTATAAAGGGAAATGTGAGTTAGTAGTATCAAAAGATATAACTTATCATTTTTAAACCATTAATTTTTTAACAGCCTTGATGTATTTTTTTAAATTGTACAATGTGGATTTTTGTGCTGTTTGAAATCTAAGAGAGAGGTGCCTCTCTTTGTATTCTTGGAGCAGAGTAGAACATGAACCCTAACTAGAAAGATATTATCAAGTAGGATATTGTAAATATACTTTAGGGAGATACGGCAGGAAGCAGACAAACAGACCATTCTCAGGGAGAAATGGGGTTAATGAGAACTCTACAATGAGTTTTTAAAACCCACTGCTTCCAAGTCCTTCAGCTCAAGCTGCAGCCAAATATTTGCATGAAGAACTGGTGAAGGATTCCAGCTTCCTGGTTCATGACATTACAGCATGGATCGTTTTCAAAATTAACACCACCTCCATTTTCAGCAATGGCTTGACTATACAATCTCCCAGTTGCTCTGGGTATGGTAGTAAGTATACCCTGTAACCCAAGAGAGAGGTGTGGTGAGCTCAGCTTCCCAGCACAGAGTCACAGAGCAGTGCTGGTCCCTTTAAACTTTAAAGCCACCATCTGAAACCTAAAAAATAATAATAATAATAATAATTTTAAAAATCCTAAATTACTCAGTTAGTATAACTATGAATTCAACTAGAAAATGCAGACTGCTTTACTTTAAATAGTTAAAAGGAACACTCTTATAAACTTCAAGTATTATAGTAGTAAAAAAGCAACTTATATAAAAATTAGTAAAAAATATACAAGGAGTTGAAATATTGCCTGATCATTAACTACAATATAGATAGGCTCCAACTCAAGGGGCTTTAAGAAAAAAAAATTTGCTAGTATTTCATAGCTAGAAAGAACATGTGAATGTTTTGAGCTATCAGGATTTAAAGAGTTAGAAATTGTGTCCTTTGGGGAAAACAAATTCCTAAGGCTAAATTGCCAAATAGAATATGAAAGTTTTGAAGAAAATAATTGACTAGGTCATGAAAGTTGGGATTAAATAAATGGAAGTTCTTGTTCATTTTAAGTCAAATAATTTTATAGAAAGGCTATTTACTGTTTTTCTTGAACTGTTACATTTCTGTACTATAAAAATTATTTCAATTAAATTTTTATCAAAATTAATAGCTTTAAAATTTAAGTGGGAGAATCTGATATTAGGGAAAAAATCCCCATGCAAACCTAAAAATTGAATCTTAATAAAATAGAATATCACTTGTATTTAACTTTTTTTAGAAGAAAGAATCTGGCTTACCTTAGAGCAGAAGGCAACAGAGTTCACAGCAAAATGTCTTAGATTTTCCTGAATAGAACTTTCATTTCACTTTGCTTTATGGTCTTGCTTTGGCAGCTGTCCGGAGGGACCAGTGTCCACCTTTCAGATCCAGTCACACCACCTTCTTCAGGTCAGTACAGCCAGCATTACAGTTTCCTCCAAAACTCTTTCAAAAGTGCATCTTGAAAGTCTTTCTGTGCTTGGTTCAAGGGTTAAGATAGGCAACACCATTTAACTGCAGCCCAACCAATCAGAAGGTGAAAAAGCATAGTGATTGCAGATGGAAGCTCTGCAAGGGAACAAGAGCAAATGTTTCCTTCTTTCTGAACTATCTAGTCTTTGCTGTCCACTTTGTCCCCAGTTTGTTCTTCTCATTTATTCCAGTTCCTCATCTCTAAGTAACTAAACTAGACTAAAAGAGCAGAGTTATTTTTAGGAACTTGTCTTTTTTATTGTACCTTAGATGGAATACAGAACTCCTGAGGTCCTAGAATCGTGCCTTTGCTCTTGTTCAATCAGTGTCTAGCCGACAGGGACTTCCCTCCCCTTCCTTTTCTCTCTTCCCAGAAAGCAGTTCAAACAACTGGAAGTTTTCTCAGCCCAATACGAATAACTTTATTACATAAACACTCCTGCCTGTGCCACTCAACAGCTAAGAGTTCAAATATAAGGAAACCTGCTTATGGTAGCTCACCACTGAATTTTCCGCTTATACTTAACTTCAAAAGAACCTTAAGACTTTAAAAAATTCTTCTGATGGACACACTCTAAATCTATCTTCTCTGAGTGTTTAAGGATAATAACCACAGATTGGACCTATTATTACCAAAATAGAAAAGGAGTCATGGTTTCAGAAATATTCTTGTTTGGTATTTAACAACATATTTTAATTCCATTAATCATGTTAACAAGTTCACTAAGAAAACATGTTTGCCTTTTGTAATTTAGAATGAGGAGTATTAATTTGACCTTTATGTTACTGGTTTCTATTTCTAGTTTGCCATTTATATCACTTCACTCCCAAAATTTAAGTTACTGAGCAAGTGTGAAAAGTTTAGGAAAGTAATAACCCTAAATCAAGAGAATTATTTCCCATGACATCAGAAGTTTTCCTAAAGCCTCAAACAACTCTGTCAACCCTTTATAAGAGGTTTACTTGAACTGCAGACAGGAGCTGAATGTGGATGCTTTTTATGGTCCAAGAAAGGGGTGGCTTGAGCCATTATTTGACTGTGATAGTCAGACACAGGTTGGATCACCATTGTTTTATTTTAGCCCTGTCCACATTCACAGCCAAGTCTTACATTATTGACCAGGCTCATTTCACTGGAACTTCAATTAGCTAAGGCAACTAAAAAATCCAAGTGCCTGACTGTTAACTTTTCCGCAACTTCTTAAACCTTCTTTTCTCTTATACATAATAAATATTCAGAATGTATACTAGAACTTTATTCAAATTGATAAACTGTAATTTTTAAACAAAAAATAACTTTTTTCCTTTCTGTTGTAGTCTACTTTGAAACTGAATCGAATTCTTCCACGCCTAATTATTTTCAACCCCGAGAATTTTCCAGTCGTGTTTCTTGTGAAGAAAGCCCAAGCTGCCTTGATCAGATTTTGGATTCCTACCTTCAGACGGAGACACACCACGACCCTGTGCTCAATGCCATGCAAAGTACTCCCCACTATTTCCAGGACAGCTTCCAGGCTGCCCCCTTCTACTCTAACCAGAGCCTGGTAATATATCTCCGCTCTTAACAAAATCCATTTATTGTTTGCTGTGGGGCATGCTTTGTAAGAATGCATCATCTCATGAGAAAGCATACAAACCCTATCAACAAGGGAAGCATCCAGGAAGCAAACCGAACCATTTACAAGTCAGTGGAGGTGGAAATAGCCACACATCACCCAGGTTACTGCGCCAGGGTGGTGTGTGGCAATGAAAAGGTTTCCTGGTGATATACATTTAATGGCTTTAAACTATAAAGTTAAGACATCTACTAATTAGATATCACTGATTTAAACAGTAGCCCTTGGAGTTGGGGGTTCTTGAAAATGGGCTTAGGGCTCTATCTAAACAATACCAAACTATCATTTTGATAAATGGGCTTTGTTTTATTTTGCCATTTAATTTGCTCCACTGACTGGTTGTTTTGGTCTGGTTTAGGCACCAGAACTCACTTGGGCCTGAGATGGTTAGTGAAAATGAAGCCCTAACACTTGAGAGAATTTGGATGGTCTGTTCTTGATGGACCTCAAATGTTTGAAAAAAAATACAGAAAGGTTTGCATTAGTAGGAGGATACCAGTCATTTAAGATGCCTTTTAGATGACTCATAGATATTTTAAACATTAAAAAGAAAGTTTCCTAATGTAAATCCTTCTTTATTTGGATTTGTCAAAAGTCTGTGTAGGCATCAGACTAAATTTTAAGGGGATAGGAAATGAACTCCACAGAATATGCGTACAGGGCCCCCGATCTTCCAGCCCCATTTCCACCTGAGTATGTTCACCTTGTTCTCCACAGCCGAGGGTGTGGAGAAACGTCCAAGGTGCCACCTGCAGCTTGTATTGTGCCTAAAGCTTATATTGTGGCACACGGTAGGATTTGATGAGCAGGTGACTTGAAGCACAATGGGATTTTGTGGTTTAAGGACAAAGCATCCTCCAAAGTATGGTTATAACAAAGGAAGCCAGTGAAGCAAGGCAATTTATTGTTGGGAAAGAAACAGGTAAATACAGAATGGGGTGTTATGAAATCATGCAATCAGCAAACAAAATTACTTCTGCAGACTTGGGTTGGGTTGAGTGTTTTGTGTCTTTACCCCTAATGTTCTTAACTCTAAGTTATTAAATCCATTCTGTTCAGTCCTTTTAATCCGGTCTAAGTTACCGTGCTCTTTTTTCCTTGGTTTTTCATTTCTCCAGATCCCAGGATCACCTTCAGATTCCTCCACTCTCTCTGGCTCCTTAGACTACAGTTACTCGCCAGCACATCTACCTTCATATGCTGCAGAGAATTACAATTCTCCCCCTTCTCTGGACACCAGAAACTGTGGCTATCCATCAGAAGACTACTCCTACCCTCCCTTGCCCTCACATGCCCAGTATGACTGCTTCTTCCCAGCCCCTACCTCAGGCTGCTACTGTGTGTCCTGTGAGGCAGAACACTCGGCCACCGTCAGAGCATCTGAGTGTTTTCCCTGTCCCAGCACAGACTATGTGAACTTCGATCCCTCGGCCGCAGCACCCAGTGATTTCTATACGAGAGAAACAAACTGTGACATCTGCTATAGTTCATAGAATTTCATTAATTTGGAACATGCTGTGTATATGTTTATTGTTCTGCCGCACCAAATGACTACTTGAAATAGGCAACTTGTTAACAAAATATCACAGGCACAGTTTACATGCCATTTTCAGTTTTCTGACACTAACTTAGGCATTAAGATGAATCAGACCCTGTGTTTGTGCCTACTTTGTATGCTTACAGTTAAAAGTTTTGTCGGGAACATTCAGTTTACTTTTCTGTGTAATGAACAAATTCTAATTTTGTACTAATAAATAATTTTGTATTACTAAATGTTGGCTTACTTTTTAAGTTTTTGAATAATAGTTTCCAGTTGGTTTGAATAATATCCATTACTTCTGGAAATCACTAATTACTCTTCAGTAAATCAATCTCACTTATTCATGAATTAAAGATTATTGTGATGTGGTGAGTTGCCCGGGCTCCCAGGAGGATGCGGAGTAGACACAGCTGTGACGGCAGAGAAGTGGAAGTCAGCCTCACCTCAAGTGAGGGTGTATGTACATCCTGGAGCAGCATCAGAGGGAGACATTTAAGAATCATTAGTTTCTTGCATGTAACATCAGCCAATGACCTATTAATGTGGCCAATAAGCACATCTTACCTACAGCAATGTTAACCTGCAGGTAATTCTTTTTTATTTCCACAGTATTGTTTTATAAACTTCCTGGGCAAATATTCGATCTTCTTTCTCCTGAAAGGGCTGCCTTGCAGTTGATGCACCATGAAGTTTAGAATTTGTTGCTCTCGTATATTTCTGAATTTCTGCTTCAGGTACTTAAATAGGCATCACTTCTATTTATAGATTGATTTATGGGATTAGCCGTGTTGTTTACAACTGAATTTCAGAATTTGTTTTTTCTTATGAGTCATCTGAACAAGCCCAACCATCTATCAAGGTGAAGAGAGTTACTTAAGCTACCAAGACTAGACCATAGTGTTAAAACCTGTTTCCTGAAGGCACTAAGGCACAGGACATAATCCCCGCACTGGAGTCTGGGAGGCATTTTCCATGTCCCCGGGTTTAGCACAATTACAGCAACACTGGTACCATTGGCACAGGCCACAGCTGCCATTTTCTGAGTGCTTCCTGTGTGCCAGAATTGTCTAAGGGTTTTGTCACAAATCATCTCATTTAATCTTTATAACATGTGTAGTGAAATGAGGAGTCTGAGACTCAGAGAAGTTCAGTCACCTGCCCAAGGTCACCCAGCCAATATGCACCTGAACTTGGGTCTGAAGGATATCAAACACATGCTTCTTACTCACCCTTCAGGGATGGCGTCAAGTTTGATCCACTTTACGCCATCCCTGAAGAGTCCTCATGCATGCCCAGATACGACCCCATCATAACTAATCAAAGCTCCCCAGGAGGGCCAGACTGTCCATAGAATACAAAGATGGGAGGAAGCACAAGAGCTTTCAGTTTAGGGACCAGGGAAGAAGCTGACCAACTGCCACCTCTGTGGGTCTCTTTCTATCAGGAGGCAGACATGCTTTCAAAATGACACTGTCTGATCGCCCCCTCCCGCGAGACTCCACGAAGGCTTGGACAAACAGGACAAGTCGCAACCTGCCTCCTGGGATAGATGTGCCAGGGAAACAGAACAATTACTGCCTTTCTAAGATGCCAACAAAACTAAATTTTAATAGCTTCAAACTAAATTGAAACTGGCCTGTTGTCAACAAATATCTATTCACACAGACCAAAGCCCCTGCACACCCTCCACCCTACCCACCACAAGAGACAGAAAGCAGAGAACTGAGAGATGCCTGGTGGTTGGCAACAAAATATCCCTTTCCTGGACATCATTCTTTTTTTTCGATCCCCCACTTGTGTCCTCTGCCTTCTGAGTCAAATATCTTGCAGCTCTAACATAACATTTCTACCTCACTCTTTCTTGTTCTTTCTTCACATGCCTCTAACTTTTTGCCTGAGTCTAGTGTGAGAAAAGATTCATAAGGGAATGTGAGACAAGGGCTAATACAGCTACCGTGCATCACAATGAATAAATCCACCTTAAACTGATCTTTAAGATCTCCCTTACATTTGGACTAACAGGTCACGTGGCACACAATGAAGTGGCTAGATGCTGCTCACCCAATCCGTTTATCACCCCAGCACACACAGAACTACAGTGCAGGTCAAACACACCCAGCAGCTCTGGGGCAACCCAGAATGCCTCTCCTCAACGTAGGCCTTGGAAGCTGTGCAAAATACAGATGCCTGTGCCCAGTTAAGAAAGCGTGATCCAGTAAGTCTGTGGTGGGGTGCAGCCACCTGCATTTTTTAATGTACCTAAGTTGACTCTACTATAAATGGTCTTCTGTCTACACCTGAAAAACACTGACATATTCAATGTCTGATTGTTCACTTGTAGAACCTAGCGGTACAATAAGCATAAGTGACACGAACTAAGCTCTTTCTATGAGCCCGTGCTGTGGGCCTTATCTTAGTGAATGCTCAAACAACCATACAGGATACATACTGTTGTCCTCATTTTTATTGGTGGTGAAACTGGAGTTTGGAGAGGTAAAAGAACATGCCCAAGGTCACACAACCTATAAATCAGGGTAAGAACTTTCCAACTCAGGTTGTCTGGTGCCACGGTCTGAACTTCCAAAAGCCTCGGTAAAGTTTCCAAATGTTAATTACACTTGGAGGAATTAAACCTTTTGTCTTAAAAGTCACATGTATATCTGTAGCCAGTTCCTCATACCACAGAGATATTTATAAGATTATTATGGAAGTTCAAATGATTTTATTATTCAGAACCATTAGAGATTAATGGAATAAAATATTAATCAAATGCTTACCGTGTGTAGGATTGATTAGATGTCTTCAAAATGTAGCCAGTCAAAGGTTTAAAGGGAATGTAATTTTTCTCGTTTATTGAATTTAGTTCAGGTGACATTGGCTAATAAAATTATATAGTTTTCAGGTGAAGGGACATAATTTGTACATTTTATTTTTTTTCCTTTTTTAAATTGAATTTATTGCAATGAAACTGGTAAACAAAATTCTACAGGTTAGAATGCGTATGAACTGATTTTCAGGTTCCTAAGAAACTTAACTGAGGGGTCAACCCTTCAAGCCTGAGACAGGTAAGACGAGACAAAGTGGGAGGCAGTAAGCATTTGGAAACTACTGCCTCCGGCAATGGCCCGGAGTGGCGATGTCCCGGCAGCTGGCCTGAGCCTGCAGGTGGACAGCAGGAAGTAGGTCTAGATAAGCATAGCTGAGACCAGGAGCCTAGCAGTGGGGGGAGGGTCAAGGAGAAGGTGTGGGTGGAGTGCTACCTTTTGATTAAAGAAAATCTTTAAAAATCATATTTAGTCAAGAGAGATGAAAGCTAAAAAGAGTGAGAGTCAAAGCTAATAAAATTGTGAATGCTATAACTTAAGCCTGACTTACTATCATTTCTAAGTCCTCAAACCCCATGTAACCCCCAGTACAAGCCCTGGCAGGGCTGCCCAGGAAAGTAATGAACATGCACACTACCTCCCTTCCTTTTACAGATAAGGGGGTGAGGATGTCCTGCCTAGAAAACAGGTTCTGTGGGGGGGAGCTAGATTTGAGTGTGGCAGAGAGGGGCCATTCCGGTCTAGGACATTCTGCTTTCACAGGCAGGGAGATTTGCCCCATTGCGTGTGTTCCAAGAGGCCTCTGGGTAAAATATAGGGTCTGGAGGATGGACAAATCTGAGAGGACTCAGCTCTACATAATAATAAAGCATCAACTCACTGAGGGCAGAAATAAGTGTCCACTTAGAAAACAGTTTGTCTTCCTTGATATGGATGGAGAACATGCCATTGGTCCTTGGCAAAGGTGGAAGTGTAGGCATGTGCGGATTTGTCTGTGACCCATCCTTTGCCACCTGGATAATCAGGAAGAAAGAAGAGACACCTGCCCTTTAACCTGTCAGGACTGGACCTGAATGCCAAAGCTCCAAAGTCACCACCTCTTACCGCCATTATGAAATTCTTCATTGAATAAGCCAGATTTTGAGGAGAGCCCTGCTGTCAGTAGTCAAGTTGCCTTGATGGGAGGATGTGGCGGATCCTAAGAAAAGACAAATTTGGGGGTAGGTCACACCTTCCCTAGAGGGCGCGGTGTAAGAATCATGGCTGTGCAAAGAGGAAGGCATTCTCTGGAAGGAGGTCTCGTAAGGGGACAAAGGATCTAGACTAAGAATTGGGGGGCTCCTCAAGCGGGCTCCCTGTGGGAGGTTCCGTTCTGGGAGGCTTTTCTTGTGAACTATGATCACAGCGCCAGTCAGCACTATGTTTGAGTTTCTCCCCTCCCACACTATAATTCCTGCTAGTTAACTGCAGTTGCCATTCAGGAAGTCGGGCTCCAGGTAGGTAGTTGGGTGTAAGTACAGAGAATAAAGTGAAGGACCTTCACAGGGACATGAGCCCTGCCCAGTTCCACCCGCAGTGCTGAGACTTGTGTGAAGCTGGTAGCATTTATTGTAGGGGCCTGTGGTCCAGAGCAACCAGGAAGTAGTCTGTGGCCAGTGAGTGGTGGCCACGGTGGAGACGAGACTCATGGGGAAGAACACGGATTGAGAAGCAGCAACTCCAAGGTACAGAGAGAGAGAGACTCACAATGCTCGAACATGAAAGAGGCTGGAACTCCAGTCACTCCAACACTTTAAGACAAATAAAGGAAAGTTTTTACACGTAAGGTAATAAACTTTAAAAACCATATTACCCTCACAAGTTGAACATTTAAATAATTTTATGGCCATTGAGATTAATTTGACTGATAGTATTTTAGGGACTCAAAGATCATCCAGTTCACTGGTCTTCAACCTTGGCTGTCTGTTAAATTCATCCGAGGAGATTTTTCAAAACACTGGCATTCAAGTCCCAGACCAATGAATCACAGTCTCTGGGGCAGGATTTATGCATTGGAATTTTTGTTAACTCTTTATTTTGAAATTACAGGAAGTTTCAAAATTAATCCACAGAGTCATACGCATTCTTC